ACATAGGGGTGCATTTATAGGTCTCTCTGCTTCCCATATACCACTTGGGTGTGACGAGGCACAAACTCTCATGCTAAGGCCAGAGCAGCCATGCCTCCCTGACCTTGAGCCTGTGAGCTCAAGTAAGTCCTTCCTTTAAGCTGCTTTTTTGTCAGGTCATAGTGACACCATCTGTTAGAGCTGGGAGGACTGAGGTGGATTGTGCCTGGGACATGGCACTCAGTAAGCATCAGTGACCATGATCAGAATGATGAGAGCCTGAGCTGGCTCCTGGAGGTCCCACTGGGACAGTGGCATTTTGTGGGAGAGGCTTGGACACAGGCTGATGAGGGCTGAACTACTGAGTGAAATGCTTGAGAGGAGCTGTCAAGTTGCCACCTGGACCTGAGCACCCAAGAACTTAGCCATGGATCAGCAAAGCAGAAGTGAAGGGAAGCCAGCCCAGAAGGACGTGGGTAATGGCGCCAGCAGACACAGGTGCTGGGTACCGGTGGGCATCTAGGAAGTGTTGCCTGCCTGGGATTAATGTGTGAATAAAAGGTATGGGGTCCTCTCCACTGCCCTGCACCAGGCCCACAAGGCTCTGGTTGGGGCTTCTCTACTCGGAACCTAGAGCCAGAGGAGCTCATCCACCTGAGCCAAGGCCAAGGCTGCCTTAAAAGAGAGCTCAAACCACACCAAGGCCTGAAAGTGATCATTCTATCTTCCTCTTATCCCTGTCTTCTCCCCTCTCTTTTTCTACTTTATGGAGTCCTGAACACTTCAGCAATTCAGCCATGTCACTTTTGTACATGATGAAAGGATCTATCAATCACCTATCAACTATCATCTGTTTATCTGTGTAAGAAACATTAAATGTTAGTCTTTTCTTTCAAATCCTGTAAAACTTGGCTTATGACAAGGGATCCTAATCTTTTAATCCCACCGTATCCTGTTAAGACTTTTGTTTAAGGAAAGGTCCTGATACATTCCTGAACCTGATGGCTTGGGGCAGCAAAGCTCTTCCCCCTTCCTGAGAGGTTGGACCCCAGCCTATGGGGAAAAGACACAGCACTCTCATGTTAGAGATAAAACCTTTCAATGTTCCTGGACCCGTTTGCTTGCTAGATTTGAGTGAGCACACAACACACCCTTTTGCAAAATAAAATCTGCCTTGCCAAGTTACTTTCACTTTGTCTGCATGTTCTTTGTGCAGAATTGGTCCTTGGACCTCAGTTTTTATTTCTAACATCTATTTATCATCTACTTATAATCTATCAATCATCTATATCTATCTACCTACCTACCTATTATCTATCTATAGGTTAGAATCCAGAACAGACTGCTGCTGGGGGGGCCTAGTTCACTGGCAGCAGCCTCTTTCTTCTGTGAGGGAAATGAAAAGCCCCCTACTGAGAGCCTATCTGTGAATCTCTCCCTAATAGACTCCCAGAGGGCTTTGATTCAAAGAGAATGACAGGAGCCATTCTCTCTTCCCTAGAAAGTTTACAAAGTGTCAGGTTTCCAGATTCCAGGGCATCAGAGGGCTGCTGAGGACTGCCAATGGCTACACATTCCCCTTCCCCACACCCCACATCCCATACCATATGGCAACCTCACCTAGATGTACCCTTCCTCACTTTGCAAACACCCTTCCTGGCACCCTCCTCTCTCTCTCCCCTGCCATGGAATCAGATGCTATTTGACTGCAAGAAACCTCCCAGTTCCTCTGAGACTTTCAGGAAGGGGTCCCACTCTGCCTTGTGGGCCTGAGCTCTCCTCTGAGACCTACTATGTTGCTGTCTATGGTGTTGGGACTTGCTCTCCTCAGAGCCCTGTCATGCTGCTATATGTCCATCTATGGTGTTAATAACGTCTAATAAATCTACCCCAAAGGACAATCCACCACAGAATCTCCTTGGGTCCCCAAACTTGAAACATCTATATTTTATCATCTACCTCTGTCATTTCTCTTTTTTTTTTTTTTTTTTTTGAGACAGGGTCTCCCTGTATTCCAAGATGACCTGGAACTTGCTGGCTTCAATCTCACAGAGATCCACCTGCCTCTGCCTCCTGGATGCTGCCTCCACACCTGGCTGCTCTGTACTTTTTACTTACAGAGCTGCCACCCTCTACATCATTGCATGAAGCCATCTGGCCTTTCAAATGGATGTCATCCATGGCACCGGTACCCCATTGTTCCCTCATTACCTTTTCTGGGAGGCTGTGGAGGGCACTGCTAACCTCCTGCTGTGATGCTCTGCCTTGTACTGGTAGCTTAACTCTGTGTGAGTGTCCCCTGAAGGTCAGACAAGTCAATGTGATAGTCACAGGAATAAATAGGTCCTGCCTGAGTTTATTGTAAATGCTGGGGAGCACCTGCGACTCTGACCTTGTGCTGGGCCAGAGCCTGGACTTAGCTCACCAACTATTACAGCTGGGAATTCACCAGCATCGGGTCGGGGCTTATAGCTCTTTCCAGTTCTTTCATACACTGTACTGGTCAGACCTCTGTCATAATCCCAAGATAATTGGGACACCCCTTCAGGTTGTTTCTTTGTTTTAGATGAGGCCCACCCAAGAAGGAACCTGGTTAAAGCAGCAGAGGCTATCCAACCCCTCTCCTAGATGACCTAAAAGAAGCTCAGCTCACTCTAATCTGAATTCTCTACCAGAGGGCTCCTGCCCACCAAATGTGTCTGTCACATGTGGTCAGCTCTGCAGTCGCTCCCTTACTTCATGTTCTGGGAGCCACTGCTTTGGGAACAATCCTCAGTGTTCACTTTACCTGATGTAGTGTCTGACCTTGTTATATTGGTGGGCTTTACACTTGCCAGGGGTTGGCCCACTGTGCTGGTTACACCTTTGACCTGTTCTGGCCCCAACCCCAACACTGACACCCCATTCATCCAGAAACGTGGCTCTCATGAGTCTGAGCACTTTCTCCTCAGAAGGATGTAGTTTAAAGGACTATAGTTCTGTGGTTTGAACATGTTCCTAAGTTTGGGCACTGAAAACAAGCTGCAAAGTCAGTGGGGACTTGAGATGTGGTCAGGGCTCAAGGGTTGTTGTACCTGCCTTGCATTACTGAGTAATGAGTTATCTCAAGGATGGGTCTGTTTTTATAAGCCTGTCCGGGTGTCTTTTGGCTACACCCCTCTGTGTACTGCTTCTGGAGTCTGCAGAGTCCCCAAGAGCAAGCAAGTTTTCTCCGGATGTGTCCCCTTGACCTTGTAGCTCCCGGTTTCCAGAGCAATGGGCTGCACAAACCTTTATTCTTATAAACTACTCAGTCTGTGGTATTCAGTTAGGGCCATAGATAACAAGCTGAGACATGTGGTTCAGATAGCTTCTTGGCAAAGGGAGAGGGGTCCTCATCTTTCTTGGGCTGAATTGACCAGAAGCTAGGTCTCCCAGTGAGCCTGTTTCATGAGATGTGAGTGTGGCTGGGCTCAGGGGCAGGGGTGACATTTCTCCCCTGCTGCCATCTTCCCCCATGCCAGTCTTTCACAGCAGAACTAGCAAATCACAACTTCCCTTCCACAGGACTCTGACTGAAGGGGGCAAGGTTATCTGTAGATGCTTTACTTTGAAGATTCAGATAATGGAAAAGAGATGCTGAATACTGTTGATTCACCCATTCACCATGAGACAGTAAGTCCAAATGCTACTCAGTGGGTCTTTTAAACTGATGCTTGCAGGCAGGTATAGTGGGGACAGGGCCATCTAAGCCTGCTGAGGCTTGTGCACAGGAGTGACTGACTTTGTTTAGTCCTACATGGGAGGGTTAATCTTTAGCTTTTGCTTATGTTGCCAAGTAGCAGACTAGCTGGGATTGTAGTCAGTGTATTCTTTTTAAAAAAAAAAAATTATTTTTTTATTATTTTTATTTTATGTGTATAAGTGTATTACCTGCATGTGAGTGCACCCACGTCATGCAATGCTGTGGAGGTCAGAAGAGGGTTTTGGATTCCCCTGGAACTGGAGTTAAGGATGGTTCGTAGCCACCATGTGGGTACTGGGAATTGAACCCAGGTCCTCTGCAAGAGCAGTCAGTGCTTTTAACCGTTGAGCCATCTCTCCAGCCCGTCAGTGTATTCTTAGCAGCAGCCACTCATCATCGTGTCTGGAAGGGCTGCATGCACAGTTAAGCTCCAAACACTTTGCAGAGCACAAGTTGAGCCACTGAGAAGAGCAAGAGGCGGCTGTTGCCCGCTGTGCATTGATTTCACATATGAGTGAGTGACCAGCCTGTTGGAGCCCCAGTGGAACCAGGGCCATCACTGCAGCCACACAGACACTCAGGTCTGGGTCTGCATGCAAACCTAACTCCGTCCCTTGAATGGTAGGGACAGGGAACCTAGTCTTTGGCCTTAGGCTGAGATAACACCTACACTACATGGTGGCTTTAGATGTGACATGGGAACACCTACAAAATGGGAGGCATGGTACTCAGGGTTTGATAGATATCAGCCCAGGCAGACCACAGGGTAGGGCAAGTGGAAAGGTCAGGCCTGTCTTACTTGCTAGAAGAACAGCAAAAATGTTGGCAGAGGACTTAAGGAATGACATAGGGACATTCCTGACACTGTACTGTCAGGAGCCACCACCCTGACTCCAGCTCAGCCCACTGAGTCCAATGTCAGCAAGAGGACACAGCTGTCCCTCAAGGCAATGTCCCCAGGAGGGAGGCAATGACTCTTTGCCCTACACTTCCTATACAAATTAAATACAGGTCACCAAATGAGGGGCCACATGTTTCCTTCAGAGCCATTACACCCCCTTCTCTCCCAGTCCACTGAGTTTGAGGAAACTCGCTTCCTCCCACCCCCTACTTCTTCAGGTTACTCAGCTTTGCCTTCTGGGATTTGCCTGCCACGAGGGGAGCAAAAGAGATAGAACTGCACTTTGAAGCAGTCCCTCTGCACGCAGCCACCTTGTGGGCTGGATATGCCACCTCCTTGCTTGGTTTAATCATCAATTAATTCTGCTCAGAAAGCTCTTCTTGACCTGGTTTATCCTCAGCTCCTGGGTTCAGAGCAGTGCCTGCTGCACAATGACTGCCGACAACTCCACTGGTGACCTCCACGCTCCGGGGCCGCAGCTGAGCGTGATCGACATCATTGTCATCGCTGTGTATTTTGCCTTGAATGTGGCTGTGGGCATATGGGTGAGAACCTCCAGTGGCTCACTAGACTCCTGGGGCAGAAAGGGGGCCCACATTTCCCTGGATGTCTAAATGGGTCTTACTTGGTGGTCGGGTGCCTGAACACTGGAATTATGGGGGTTCACAGCCACACTAGAGCTGCTGAGTCAGAATCTAGAGGTGAGAGGGGCATTCAGAACCTGGAATCTTCTATTTTTAACAAACTCCTTGCAGGCCTGATAGTAATTCCTGAGCTTATTCTCTCTCCCTTGAGCTGAAGATCCCAGTGGCAGAGGAGCCCTGCTGTGCACTTGCCAGGCCCTTCCCTGTGCCCTATCCTCACCCCACCCCTCATCCCAGCCCCTGGGAAGACCAGGATTAGTGTAGATGAAGAAAGCAGAGCAATGGGGTGATGGGGAGAGACTCTCTAAGGGACCTGCAGAATAGAAGTAGTCTCTGGGTGTAGTCATGATGCCAGTCTTCAAGACACTCTTGAGGGAAAGTGGCGGGGTGGGGGGTGATGCAATGCACCAGCCGTGCCCCACTTCACTATTCCATGTTTTAGGACTGGGAGAGGTCAGCTCCTTGCCTCAGCCCCAGAGCCCCGAGGTTCTTCTGAAAAGAACTAGTATGCCTTCTTCCTTTCTGTTATCCCCAGCCCAAGATAAGATCCTGGGGAAGGGGAGGCTGGTCATGTTCAGTCTGTGTTGCGATATGGGGATGGCACCTACTTCACAGGGTGAGATTTCCCAAACACATCTGAGGAGGACACATGCCTCTTGCCACCACTGGGTCTATGGTAGTAGGACTGCCAGTAGGAGTGGCTGTAGTGGTTAGTGGTAATAGACATAGTTGGTGATGGTAGTTTAGTGATAGTGATGCAGTGGTTGTGATGGTGGCACTGATAGTGACAGTGATGGTGGCACTGATAGTGACAGTGATGGTGATGTGGTAAAGATGCCAATGGTGGTGATAGCAATGGTGGTGGCAATAGTGGTGATCATAGTGGTGATGATGTAGACGGTGATGAGGCTGATGGTGATGATGGTGTTGATAGTGATGGTGGTGGTAGTGATGGTATTGATGGTGATGGTAGTGGTAGTAGTGATGATGGGATGTTGCTGATGGTAGTGGTGGTGGTGATGGTGATGGCGGTGGCAGTAACTGAACTTATTTATGATATGATCAAATACTAAATGAAAGTGGCCCACTGTGACTATCAGCAAAGCTGGGTTTTCATTCTCTTGTCCCAGCTCTGCTCTGTCTACAGACATACCTCATTTTTTGTACTTTTGTGATATTGATTTGCTTTTTTTTTCCCCATGTTGATGTTTTCAGTAGCCCTGCATTGAGCATGCTTTTGGAGCCATTTTCCCACAGCAGGCTCTGTCTCTGTGTCACATTTTGGTAGTTCTCACAATATCTGAAACTTTCTCATCGTATCCATTGTAGTGATCTGCAGTCCTTGATGTTACTGTGGTAATCCTCTGTTCATGTCCATGTGCTCTGACTGCTCCTCCGTCCACAGTTCTGTCTCTCCTCTGCCCAGCCCGCCCTGTTCCTGAGACACAGTACTAAAATGAGGCTAATGAATAACCTCCCATGGCCTGTGAGTGTTCAAGTGAAACGGAGAGTTGCATATCTCTCACTCTAAATCAAAAGCTGGAAATGATCAAGCTCAGTGAGGAAGGTGTGCAAAACTGAGCTTGACTAAAAGCCTCTTGAGCCAAGCGACCAACTGTGGATGCAAGGAAGTTTTAGAAGGAGAGAGAAAGTACTTCCCCAGTGAGTTCGAGAATAGAAAGCAAACAGCCCCTTCCTGGATAGATGAAAACAGCTGGGCATTCCCTTCAGGCTAACCCATAGAAAACCCTTCTTTTCTTCAACTCTGTGAAGACAGAGCAGCTGCAGTGAGAGGGTTTGAAGGCAACAGAAAATCTGTTTCTGGGGTTCATGGGCACCCCACAACCTAATATGCAGGAGAAGCAGCAGGTGCCAAAACAGACACTGTGGCTCATTTTCCCAAAGAGTGAGCTAAGATGATGGACACAGGATGAAGGCGGCTGCACAAAACCACAGGTTCTCAGAGGTGGTAGGACAGAGTACTGGGGAGGAGGTCACTGAGGACTGTAGGGGCCATGAAGATGTCAACACTGGCCTTCAAAGCTTCCCAGCACAGACTAGCTTTCATCGGGGCAAGGCTGTGTTAACCTGAGTTAGTGCCAATACTCCTTTATCACCCCAGATTCTTTTAAGTGCTATACTGTCTTCTTGGAGAGCTCCTGGAATGGCCCAGCAAAGCCTGGGTGGGCGCATCTCTATACAGCATGGGCACTGAGGATTCTAAGTCCACTGTTGAAACTTCAAAAGACTCCTGTCCTAAGCTCACTGGCCACTGCCAGGCACCTGCCACTAGGGGCTGATGGACCTTTATTTAAATGTTTCACAAGCTGCAGTTGTCATAGATAATGATTCTTTCTGTGGATCCCGGTAGAGTAAACTTGAACCCTTCTGGAAGGATCAGCACTGTGGATACCATTAGGAACATTATGATTTGAGGGAAGAGGCCAAAACAGCAAGATGTCATCCCAGCCTCATGGATGACTCTGAGGGAACCCAGACTTCATTATGGAAACCACTACAGATGAGGGTGAGGCAACTGTGGTCACCTCAGGAAAATGTTAACAGAAGGAAGGAGGTGCTGTTCCTTAGAGGAGGAAAGCAGTTTCTTGGTGGAATCATACCTGGTGGATGCTGTGAACATTGTTGAAATGACAGCAAAGCATTCAGACTATGACACAAATCAGGAATAAAGTGACAGCAAGTTTGAGAGGTGTGACCCTGAGGTTGAAAGAAGTGCTATGTGGGAGGAATCTCATATGAAACGGTCAGTTATGTGACAAATTTCACTGTCATCTTAAGGAATCGTAACCACCACCCAGCTCCAAGTCAGCAACTGTCAACATCAAGGCAAGACCCTTTGTGTTAGCATTCTGTTATTATTACAAGGTCTCAGCTGGGCATAGTGGCACATGCCTTTAATCCCAGCACTTGGGAGGCAGAGGCAGGAGGATCTATGTGAGTTGGAGGCCAGCCTGGTTTACATAGTGAGTTCCAGAACATCTGGGGCTACAGGAAGACCCTGTG